AACAAAAAATGGTAACCATGTTCCAAATCTCGAAAGAAAGAGAAAACCAAGACTTTGACAAGGCAGCCAAACTTACTTGTGATCTTCCGTGGTTCTCTTTGCATTTCATTTTTTTGACGAATTGTCTCGTTGCCATTAAATAGATAGAGTTACATCACGCGACATCGGGACTTGAGATTGAGACTTAAGATTTCAGGATCTGGACATGATTTCATTGTCACAACAGTTTCACTTTCCCGTCAACATTGAGAAAAGATTATTTATTATTTTCGGTAACTTAAATCTATATGTTTCTAAATTAAATAACTAAGGATGTGTTTTTTGTTTATGGTGGAGCCAAAATTTGAGTTGAGGGTTATTGTGATGTAAGTTTTTAATTTGAAAAAGATGATAGTAAATTTTAAAGTGGTTATTATTTATCTTGAATGGCGGAGTAGTAAGTTGAAAAAGTTCCAAACAAAGTATAATTATTGATTTTACAACTGAAATCGAATACATATTTGCATATAAGGTTATAAAAGAAATTGTTTGGATCAAGAAGTTCATAAATAAGATAAGTGATATTCCTAGCATTGTTGATCCAATAGCCATCTTTTGTGACAGCAATGGAGCAATTGCTTAAGCCAAGAAACGAAAATCTCATCAAAGATCCAAACATATATTGAGACGATATCATCTCATTAGGGATTTTATTTTATAGTGGTGATGTTAAAATTAAATGAGTACTCACTGAGAATAACATTATTGATCCTTTTACTAAGCCATTATCCAGTAGAAACACGGTAAACATGTAGTAAAATATGATAATAGATACCTAAGGAATTGGCTTTAGCGCAAGAGAGAGATTATTATTATGCACCCTACAAGCAAATTGGTTTTGTTGAAAACATTTTCATATTGTGATATTTAATATGTTATAAAGGTCTTTATTATTTTATCTTTGAGCTTATATATATAAATAATTGTTATTGCTGCTTACATAATAAAGTACTTCAAATATAAACAAAGTTTTGCAAAGGAATTATAATGAGATTGTAATTATGAGATCATTGCATAAACCTATATTCCTAAATATTCATAATCGATACTTTTATCAATAAGAGGATATTGATAAAAGCTATTGAGACTAGCACATGATTATACTCTTACTCATGAGTAAGCAACCGATTTTATAGGTTGAAGTTTAGTTAAACTTAAGCTAAAATGTGGGTACTTGTTATAAGAATAAGTTTATTGAATATGACTCCAGATGAGAATGTTATATGGTAGCTCACATAGTTTCTATAGCAATATTATCATATAATAGTTGTATAAGTAATCCTTTGACACGAGATTACTTATGATCTTATGTAATGAATGTTATACTTTGACTTTACTCATGGTTCTAATCATTAATATTTTAGTCGAGTATGGTTGGGTATAACATAAAACATATGACGATGTATGAGTAATTAAGATAGAGCTCATCACCTTATGTGATCAAGAGAGTATCTAAATTAGTCTGGATTGAATTAACTCAATAAATCTTTTTTACCATAGTGAAATGAAAGTTTAAAATTTTTCTAAAACTTATTTGTGAGTTAATGTCAAGAACAAAATTTAGTATGGATAGACATGATTGAGTAGACACTAATCCATACTCAATATTAAATCAAGATGCCTAGTGATGAAATGATATTAATTATACTAGAAGACCATACATGGATAAGCTGTTAAGCCATATTGATTTTCTTTAACAATTGGACATCATGGCAATGTAGCTAGCATTGATTATAATCTATAAATATAAGGTTGGCTAATTTGAGAATTAGTGATGAAATTAATAGGTTTGATTCATCTAAGTCCAAACCTAAGGATTACAATACTTTTGTTTATTGTCAACATGTTAAGGGACCTAATGGGTTACACACAATAGGACAATTATAAAATATTGAAATTGGTAAAAATTAAGTTGAACTTAATTTAGATTGGGTTAAGCCTAAAAGTAGAGAAATTAACAAGGAACCCTACATCTCATTGTTGTAACAATCAACATGCATGAGAACCTACTAAGAATAGAGTTGATCTATGCTAACCCTAGAGTAATCAACCCCTCCTCTATATAAAGAACATAAGCCGTCCCTCTTTATATAGAAGAAAAAACATATAATTTCATCTTATGTGTTGAAAACAAACTTGAGAAAAAAAAAAAAAAGAGGTTTCATAATAATCACTAGCTAGAGTATCTATTTCATTCCTTCGATCCTTTATGAAGGCTTTTTCATACTTGTTCATGTAGATCACTATTAGAGGCTAGAAGTTTGAAACCTTTTGGGTTGTAACAAACAAAATTGGTGATCTCATACTTGGTGATTAGAAATCGGCATAAGAAGTAACAAGCTTCAAGCCAAAACTTATTTGTTACATTTGCATGATCTTATTGATTAATCTTGGCTATAGGGAGTTGAAAATTTTTAAATTTTGCTATTGTTACTCTGATATTGATGTTCTATTCCCTTCATCTGCATCCTAGCCAAGGCGTGGCCAATCCAACCAAGCCAAGTTGAGTCAATCTCTATATCTTAAGCCATGTTGGGCCACTTTTTGTTAAGACAAGCTACCATCCCTTTTGGTAATTTTTTGTTTATTTCATTTATTTAATTAAATTAATATTTTTCATGTAAATTTTAAAATTAAATTTATGAATTCTATCAAACTATTAAAAAAATTTTATAGGTTTAAAATTATTTTAAAATTATGAATTTTACTAGACTATTGAAAACTTCATAAGAAAATTTAATAAAAAATATTTTTTTGAAATTAATCCTACCAAATTATTAAATGATTTAAATCTCAAATTAAATCTTACTAAACTATTAGAAGGTTTAATTATTTTTTTAAAATAAAATTTTTTAATCCTACTAAACTATTGGAGGATTTAAATCTTAAAATTAAATATTATCAAAGTATTGAAAGGTTTAATTATCTTTTACAAGAAAATTAAATTTATAAATTTTTTTATCCTACTAAACTATTTAAGAATTTAAACCTCAAATTAAATCTTATCAAACTATTAAAAAATTTAATTATTAAATTTCTTAAAATAAATTCTTTTTTAATCCTACAAACTATTAGAAAATATCTCAAAAAAAAATCTTATCAAATTATTAAAAGGTTTTAATAATTTTAAAAATAATAAGTTTTTAAAAAATCTTAATGAATTCAATGACGGAATCTTTTCAAGAATAATAGTAGTTTCCTTATATACTCTTAAATGAGAAATTTTTTTTAAATTACTATTAATCTATTAGAGTAATTTTAAAAATAAATTTTGATATTAAATTATAAAAAATTTTAAAATATTTGAAGACCTTGGATAACACGAAATCAACTAGTACTATTTGTTATATGGCGTTATTGCGGTGTTATAACATTCTCTATACGTAGTTATACTCTTGGATTTTATCTGATTTCTTATACTAGAATTTATTCTTTTAAAAAATCTGAGCCAATTTTGAAATTTCATTTTAAAAGGAGATAAATTTAATTAGGTAACTAATTGTATTTAAACAAAAAAAAATTAATAGCAACTTCTAAATTTGTGTCTATTGATAAATTTATGGACTTATGCTTTAAGATATAATACTTGTATTTGGTATTGGCTAACCGAACAAAAATAACTTGTATTTGATATATTCAGGTCGGTTTAGTCGGTTTCTAGTGCATAGCAATTTCACTCTCAATTTTAGCAGTTTTTTTATCGATTGTCAGTGTTAGATTTTGATACTCGAATTGATCGAAGGAAAAATCAAATCACACTAATTAAATTAAATAAATATATTATTAATATTTTTTTAACCTTTTACAGTTCTACCTATTTTACCAAATGAAACCTTAGCCCTAAATGCATTCCTCTCGTTTGCTCTGTCTTTTGCAACCTTACCCTCGCACCCACACCACCTAATAGGCCACTTGACTCCTTTCACATTCGATACTCGGTTGCCACCAACCAACTAATCCTCACCAGTGACCACTGATCAACCCAGCACTAGCCTGCCTTTTGCCCTTTCGTTTTTAAATTTGGACTATTTCTTTTCTTTCTCTGTTTCTTTAAATCACAACTCAGCAAGTCACAAATCAACTCCACTAACGATGGACAATGATTTTATTTTCTTCTTCCATGGCTCCGCTAGGAAGTTTAAGACCAGTGAAAGTTGCTCACCATCAAAGGTTAGTGAACCAAACTGCAAAACAGTTATTTTTGTTATATTATTTGTTTTATTTCCTTCACTTTATTTCTTCAAAATCTTAATTATTTTACAATTTTTTTTTTTTTTTGTATATAATGGTTTTCCATCTTTAGCTTTGAGTGGTATGCTGTTGCCTAATTCGTTATTGGCTTGCTTCCCAAAAGATGAATTTATAATTAAGTTATTTTTTTTCAAAAGTAATTAAATTCTCATTACTTTGTATTTAAAAATCATGACTAAAAGAAAGAACGAAAAGAAACAAAATAAAGAAATAAATGGTTAATAATTAAGAAAGGGAATATGTATATATTCATTTAAAATTAACTTGGTAAATTACACGTAAAAGGGGATTAGTATATTTTTTACCAAACTGTAGAGAGGGTATTTTCAAATTAAAAAAGATAAGTGTATTTTATGTGAAACTTCAAGGTAAATATACTTTTTTTTCTTTTATTATTAAATGTTTACCCTTTTGGGAAGTTCACAAAATAGTGTTTTTTTTTTTTAAATGAAAAACATTTTTTAATATTTTTCTTTGTTAAAATGGTAATTTTACAAAAACCCTTTTAACTTAAAAATTATAAAAATTTAGGACTTAACCTAAATAAATCATTTGTCAGAGGTGGATTTTTATTAAATTAAAATTTGATTCTTAACGCTTTGTAAATTTTTTTTTTAAAATTTTCCTTAAATTTTGACATTTTATATATATATATATATATAAACTTAAAATTTATAAACTGAATAATTATATTTTTTACCTGGTTTGATATCTCTATTTCTTATGATCCTTTGAGCCGACCAATATTCTTCGATTATGTCACTACGAAACATCCCAACCTCCGTTAGGAAAATGTTAGAAAAATGGCAAAACATGAGACAATAGAATAATGGATAAATAAATTTATGCATATATATGACTCAAAACACACTGAAGTAATAGATTGAAATATATAGGACATTCAACACGACATCAAATCCCTACAACTCAGATCTGCATCACCAAACGCAGATGCTGTAGTAGAGTCGACGATGATTGTCGCGCTGAACATAGAAAGACGGATACACCTGTCACACCAAAACCACCAAACGCGACCATTTGAGGGCAACAGCAACGATTGAAATCTTGGTCTTTATTAGAATACTCAACCACCTAATTCACATAAAATATGATAGAAAATCAAGTAAGTTATAATTAAATTCTGTTTGAACGATTATTCATTATTTTTGTGGATTCACGGTTTCTTTAAAATTTTTAAAATTCATCAATTTCATCCATAACTGTTAAAATTTAATGAAAATATGTACGTCAATATCACATGCATTCCATATAGCATAAATTTTACTACAAAAATCAAAGTCCAACTTTTGCCAATTAAACATGCAGAGGGACGTACAAGTTAAAGTGATAAATTTTATCAATTTTCAATAAAGATCAAAGAAACGAATGAATTTATAATATTTTTGGAAAAATCGTAAATGAAAAAAAAATTTTTAAATCGTGAATGAAATGAAATATTGCAAAATAACTATCAACGCATGAAGCAATTTACTTGTTTTAAACTAACTTAATAAATTTTACAAAAAGGTTAATATATACATGCACAACAAACATATTTATTGTCAGCTTCTAGCTAGAATTATGGGTAAACTAACTAAATATTATACAAAAAGAGGTCGTCTTCCCCACCGTTTATTTATTTGGTGCATAATTTACTTTTTCTGATTCTCTCTTGCTATCAGCTCGCTGTAATAACAAGCAAAGGAAAAGGCGATGTTAATGTTTTATAAGCAACTAAATACAGATTACAGAGTATATGTAATTTGAGAAATAATTATGAATAGTTGTGAAGAGAAGTACTACCGGAGAGCAACAGTGAGCATGGCTGCCTTGTCAAACTCTTGGTTTTGTCGTGCTTTCAAGATTTGGAACATGAATGCAAGGCGGATTTGGGTGTTCAAACTCTGCTGCATTATGAGATTGGTCTCCTTTCTGAGTTGGTCACATTCCATTTCAACGGCTTCAAATTTTTCTCTTACTTGTCTTTGCCCTTCTTTGATCTCTTTCTGCTCCTCGCTTATTTCTTCCATCTCTGATCGTAGCATTTTCAAGCGGTTGATCAGGTATTTCGACTCTCCTTTCAGCTTCTGATGCAAAATAAAATTTCATGTTAGAGATTTCATATCTACATGACAAGCTGCTAATGGGTGAAGGTAACAAAATATATGTTTTATTTCTTATATATGGTCTCCTGTATCATATATGCTCAAAATCTAACCCCAAAACCATCATACATGACATGAGTTTTTCATACGCGTTTAAGGGACTAAATTAATATGTGGAAAAAAAAAAAAAACTTACCATTCAAATGCTCCAAAACACTAAATTAAACAATAAATGTTGATAAACATTTAAATAACTACTTAATCGAAAAGTCGTTAGCTATAATTTCAATTTTCTCATTATAAATTTCAAAAAGGGCCATCTTAAATGGATTGTTACGAATTAATTTTCACATGGATATACAATATTGTTCTCTACTTTTTCCTCGTCTACTTATTTACGAAAGTGATCAGTTAAAAAAACAAAAAGAAAAAGAAATTGTAAGATAATATATATATATTAACATAATTAATAAATATATATAACAAAATTTTATGAAATTTAAATTGCCCTAACAGATTCAGAGTCAAAATCTTGAACTTGATTAACTAATCTAGAACAAAATCCCTTATTTGAAAATTGTTAATTAGATTTCCACCACTTATATCTTATGTTTAGTAGAGAACTCTCTGTAAAGTATTAATATCAATACTCAATTTTCTTTCAAAAAAATTATTTCTTTATTTTTTTCTCCTGTATTCTCTCTATCAAAATATATGACTATTTATAGTCAAATATAATGATTCCTTTATATTTACTAGAACAATGCCCTGGCGTTGTGTGAGAATATTTTACTATTTCTATTCTTATCCCGTTTAAAAATAATTTGATAAATTTGAGGCATACATAAAATTTTTCTTGAATTATTCTTTAATGAATATATCTTTTTTTACAAAATTAATACATAAATAAAGATGAGAAAATAAAATAAAAAACATATGGAAAATAAAAAAGTCATAATAATAATAATAATAATAATAATATATTTTTTGTATTTGAATAATTAACTTAAATCTTATTCGACAAAGATTTTGACGAAAATATTCAACAAAGATGAGTTAGCCAAAAATTAAATTCTTTTAAAAAAGCTTGCCACTTGTCAAGCTCTAATGACCAAGTGGCAAGCAAAAAATGGAGTATTGTTTTAGCTTAATAAGGTATTATAAAAATTTTGCATATACTTCTATTTTATGTAATTAAATCTATATTTAAATGCCCTAATTAATCCGTTCTTAAATTAAAAGTCAAATTTATCTTTAAATAGTATAATTTATGTCCTAATTAACCTCCAAATCATCAGTTTTTTGCACATCTTAGTTTGTTAAAAGTTAAGTCTCAATTTCCCAAATGTAACAATCTCATGCATTTGGGATAGTTCTAATATTATGTTATAAGTTTTAATTTAAAATAAGATTTAAATTCAGTAAATATTGATATTTTGGCAACTAATTGAAACTTATTGCATTACTTGAACAACCAATTATAGGAGACACCAAGCACCGATATAAACATAAATTTAAACATTGCATAAAGAAAAAAGGGGGTTCAAATTCAAAAGTGAAAGACATATAAAAGACAAACGGGTCCCTTAAGAATGAAAAGGAAAGACCCTGGAGTCTACACCATATTTTCATGGAAATTGAGTTCCTAATGGATGCGATGGAGAATGTTGAGTTTTGCAAAGTATCAAAAGAGGCAAATGGCGTGGCAGATGCGTTGGCTGCGTCTGGGGTTGACAGATTAAAGAATTTCATGGCCTGGTGGTGAGTAAACTATCCCACCCTGTTAGTTAAAATATAGGATTTGGGTGTTTGGCTGTACTGCAAGTGATATTCGTGGGTTTATTGTAACCATCCAGTTATGTTTGACTGTATTGCAAGTGGTTTATCCTGGAAAGTGCTACTGTAGTTCTTAATGTGCTACTGTAATCATCCAGTTTCCTAATGAATAAAACCTTGGCTTAGTAAAAAATATATATAAATAAAAGACAAACAGGGCCCTTTAAGTACCTGCTGATGGTTCCTTGGGGAATTTCGACAATGGGGCTTTATAATTTGAAGTGCGAGGGGACTTTTCCTCCTACTCAGAGTCACGGGACTCCTCATTCTTAATTTGTTTACGGATATTGCTTCCCCTTTCCTCCAAGGTACTTATAAAACTCGGCAGTTGATAAGGTCGATGCAGCGAGATGTCGCGAGAGGGCGAAAGATTTCTTTTGTTTTAACGCGAGTCAACGGGCCTTATCGACCGATTGAATTGACTCTGACTGCACTTCTGCCTGCACTTTGATGACTGCGACAATACGGAAATCGGATATCCGCATTATTAATTTTTTTATTGTTTTACTAACTTCTTCTGTACGTTGATATGAATGTACCACCAGAAAAGACAAACCATGTGCTTTGAGAGTTTAAAACAACCATGTCAAAATTGTTTTTTAGATTGAAAAAAGTTGTAAATCTAGCTTTAACTCAGAATATAAATTTTTTAATTTAATTATTAAAATTCATAAAATTATAAATCAATTGATAAGTGTTAAGCTAGAAAATACTCCTGATTGGCAAAAAAAAAAAGGTTAGAAAATACTCAGCACTCCTAATTTGTAACAACAACCGCATCAATACAAAATTCTTTAAAAAAATTGTTGTTTTTGTGAAACAAAAAAAGAGAAAAGCCCATCATTAATGCCTGCACCGCAAAATAGAGAAAAACATTATTTTTAAAAAAATCTCGAGGGAAGAGCAGAAGCAATCAACAAAAAAGGTGGCAAAAAAGAGGATTACCTTTGGTTATATCTATATATATATATATATATATATTTATCCTTTTCAATTCTCTGTTGTCATGATTGCGCCATCAATCTATATTGGTTCGGATATGGCCCTACATGGTCGGATCCAATACTGATTTGGTCGGATATGGCCTTGAAACGACTGTTTTCGCCCCCACAACGATTCGATCCGGCTTCCTGAGTCTAAATTTGTTCTGCTGTAGGTAGCTGATTCTGCTACGTAAAAGGGACCATTAAGACGATAAAGGACGAACCCTTATATAGTGATCTGATAGGCCGATTGAGTCGAAAACTTAACGAAGAAGGCATAAGAAGGGAGTAGGACCTACTCTCCACTAATCGCGTATTTTTATATAGATTTTTATGGTCACCATTTAATAATTTGTTTCACTGACAGGATTTTACTCCATTTTTTTACTGTACTACAACAATGGTTATACTATGATAAAAAAATTATGTAAAGAATATTTGTCTAAATTTTATATTTAATTTTAATGAATCCTATAAATTTATAATTATAATTAATTATAATATAATAATTATAACTTATATGTTTTCATTTCATAAAATAAGATGTAGGTGATGAAACTTAAATTAATAATTTTAAATACATAATAATATGAAATAAAAATAATATAAAAATATTATGTATATGTTTAATAAAAATGTATCCTTTATTTAATTATATTGACATAAATTTTGAACAATCAAAATTTATATCTCACATGTATTCGATATATTATATGATATAAAAAGCATGTTTAATTAATTCATATATAAGTAAATATACAATATACATTAAACATATTTGATAAATTTATAATATAATTTATTTTATAATATAAATTAATGGTTTATTATTTATTATCCATTTTAGCATTTACCCAATTACCCTTAATCCCTTAGTAAGATTGACAACTACTTGTGGTTTTCTCATGTTCCATACTTTTTCTTTATAATATGGGTAGAGTTGCTCATAGGACAGGCCACATCACATTTGGATCGGATTTAATATGATATTTTAATATTTTAAATAAATTTAAATTTGATTTGATATAATTTTTTAAATTTTATTTTTTATTTAAATTCGTTCTTACATGTAATAATAAAACTTAAATTCACATAAAGTATTATTATTTAAAATTAAAAAAATAAATTTTTTATAAATTATTAATTTAATTAATTTTAATTGAATTTATAAGTCATTTGAATTTGAGTCTAATTTAATTTTGTTAAATGTAATTTAAAATTAAATCATTGTTTTAATATTTTGTATAAAAAATTAAGCTTTATCTTATTATAAATAATAAAATAAATAGATCTTTTTCATTATAAAAAAAAAAGTAAATGGGCTTTTATATCATTATAATAAATATATTTTTTAAAATTTTCATATCGAGCCAAACCTAGAACTTAAATGGTAAAACTTAAGTTCAGTCTTATTTTTTGATCGAGTGTCATTTATTTGTCTAAATTTTTTTTAACGGACTTAATATTTATATCAAAACTTTTTAAAATTCGAACTAATTACTTGACCCATAAGCAGATCCATTTATGGGTTTTTTTTTTTATTTTGATCTTTTGAAAATTAAAATTAATAAAATGATGCAATCTTTTTTAATTCATTGAAAAGACTTATAGTAAATTAAATGTTTACAAAATATTTAAATAATGGTAGCGTAATGATACAAAAATCATAATTTTATAATCGCACCACCATCTGCTGTCACTATTGAAGATAAAAATGAATGAAAAATTGAATTGTGTTGATAGCATTGCATAACAGCCGAATATGCACCAGCCAATTAAAATCGGTTCTCCACCTTCATATAAAGGGGGTTATAGCAGCACAGTTGAGGACATAATTAGAAGGGTTGTAGCCCCTCATTAGGGAAAGAATTTAGAGGGGCTGTAACAGCCTATTTCTTTTCCCTTAGTTTTAGTATCCTTAGACAGTAACTTTTCTTTGTGTTTTTTTCTTAAATTTTGAGTTTAAAAATTTTGCATCTTTATTGTTGAGGATCAGAGGATTAAAATTAAGGATGAATTAAATAGTAAATAAATAGATATTCATCATTATTTGATTTATTTATATCAGATTTGGATAGTTATAAATAAAAAATTAATAGATTCAAATAAAAGATTTACTATCCGTGACATATTTGAATAAGATGTAGCTAGTATTCTCTAAATATCCAAAATTTAAATTTGTTTAAATTTTAATTAATAGTAACGAATATTCGAATCTTTATATGATCCGTTACCTGTTTACATAAGAAAATATATAAAATTTTATATTTGTGTAAGGTTTCAAACCTTAGCAAATAATCTTTATTTGTTATTAATTAAAAGTGAATTTGAATTTTAAATTTAATTCTTATTATTTTAAATGTTGACAAAAAATTTAAAATAAATAAATATTTTAATAGATTCGAATATTTAAATGGATATTCTTGATTTAAATGAAATTATATTTGAATAGTGATACAAATTTAAATGGATATTTAAACAAATTCGGATATTATGAGTATTAAATAGATTTAGATACAAATATCTAAAAAATAATAGATATCCACGCCATTGCCATCTATAACTAAAATGCTAGTATATATAAAAATGCCAACACAAGATAAAAAAAAAAAACAAGAAAGGAAATGGAAAAATAAAAGAGAGACCAAATTTTATAAAATTGGAAACAACTTTCAAAAGTATCCAAAATCCCGATACACCCTTTGCTATTAGTACTTCGTATATATATATGAGGGATTAATTTATACACTAACTTTTTCTAGTTTTAAACATTTTTTAAACATTAATTTTAATATATTCAAGAAATGAAATTAAACCATTTTTTCTTTTTTTGACTTGTTTCTCTTATTCTTTGGATCTATTGAAATTAATAGTTAAAAAATTTGTAAAACTAAAAGGTTTTACATTAGTGTAAGTTAATCTTATCCCATATTTATAAATATATATATTTACCCTCGTCCCCAAGCCTTTGGCCTAGTGGTTAAAAGCGTTTGAGGGGACACCAAGGGCTAGTTTTGAGTTAGGCCTCCCCCTTCCCTTTTACTTGTATTAGGATTTTGCCCTCTTGATGTAACAAAAAATATATATCTTTACCCTCACCAAATACCTCTATCTCTACAAAAAAGTAATATTGTAAGAATTTTCTAAGTGTTTGGTGAAATAAAATGCAATATTTTACTATGTTTTCCAAGTGATTGTGAAATTGTCTTTGTAATGTAATTGCATGATAGCCTAATTGCATTCATCATTCATATGTAGTTTAATTTCATGATTAGCACTTAATTATCATAAGCATTCGCATAAGAAAAAATGAGAATTATGTTAATTAAACTTGCTACAAAAGTTTACCTAAATATTGGAGATTTGTGAAGAAGTTTTAATTATCATTGATGGTCTTTTTCTAACGTAAAAATCTAAACCTATATAAAACCCTAAACCCTAGTCAAACCCTAAACCCTAAACCTAGCCCTAACCTTAACCTTACCTAAAACACTAGTCAAACCCTAAACCAAACCCAAACCTTAAACCTAAACCCTAGTCAAGCCCTAAACCTAAAACTCAAAACCAAACCCCAAACCTTAAACCTAACCCTAAACCCTAAACCTTAAACCTTAAAACCAAAACCTAAACTAAGAACCTAATTGAAACTGTGACAGCTAACCCTAAACCCATTTTCATGCATTTGCATTTCATTTTGATAAATTATTATATGCATTAGCATTCTTAAATTGTCATTGCATTCATAGATTTATATTTGTTATTCACACTTTAATTCTTATGCATATATTATGTCTTGTTGCACTTATACATATCATTTACATGATTTTTTGAATAAAGTTTGTTTTAAAAAATATTTTAAAAAATAAAATAAAGAGATATTTCAAGTAAAAATAATTCTTAAGATCTGGCTTAAATATTGGGGGATTCTCAACAATTATCATTAATGAGAAACATTATCTTGATTTTATGGGACATTATGAAAATTCCCAAAAGGGATATTTTTGAAATTTCGCCTATATATAAAGGAAAGAAAGAAATGTTCCAATACTAATGATTTTTCATCTTTATCCAAAATAGTTAGTTTGTTTTCAAAGTTCAAAATTCAAAGTTATTTTATTTCAAGAAAATGATTTTGGAAGGAATAAATGAAGATCAAGGAATTAATTTTCAAACATTTAACTTAGGACCATTTTTATTAAAGCTCAACGATAATATACAGTCAAATGGTACCAATTTTAATGAGCATTATAAGAGTGTAATCATTTCTTATGCATAATCAACTTTCGAACCTATCGATGTTTTTATAGACTAAAATATCTTTTTCACAAACTTTAAATTCATTTTATTATTTTATTAAAAAATAAACTTTTTAAATAGCCAATCACATTTTTAAAAAAAGATTGGTGGTGACTCCTTTGGTTTTGAGACTTTAAAATGTTTTTCATGTCCTATGGTTAGGTTTTCAGACCCACACATTACGACAAAAGGTTAATATTTTTAAT